TCTTTTTGGTAAGGGTGTGGGACTTGCCTAAATCGTTATACTTGGCAGTGGATTGCCGATCGCGAAACATATAAATAAACCGGATTATTATTTCAATTACTCTCTTTTTCTTCTTTCTTTATTTCATTATTTAAGCTTAACCCTAAATGCGGCGCTTAGCAGACAAATTTGTTTAAGCACTTCGCAATTTCAGAATATATTTTGCATTTTTAAAACTGTTCCACATTGCCCCTAAACTGCTACAATGGCCATGTTATTTTTCTGATTTTTCCCAGTGGATTTTCAAGAGCAAATTAACTTGATGGATTCTCTTAATTCATGCAAGTTAAAATTTTCTATTTGAGTTATTTTAATTAGTTTTTATAAAATTATTGAAATTGATGTATTCTTAGATGAGACATGAAAACATTCGAATTGTACAAGAGCTTAATAAAGTTTATCTTGCTAATCCTATTCTCCAAGAAATATTGACATTGTCAATGACAGTGATGATAATTAATTTAAATGATAGTACAGCAGCTCGGCTCAGTTTTTCAGTTAGCAATTTGATCGATCGATTGGCTTTTCTTGACATTTTAAAGTACCTACTTCGTGTTTTTGAAATTAACATGAATGAATATTGTAGTCATTATTTGATTGATAACTGGAATTGATGTAATAATTGACTAATAAAAATTGAAAATCTGAAGTTAAGTAGAAATATTTTCAAAAAAGGAAATGGTCCCCCACGAACATCCTTAAAGGCAATTATAATCTGAAAATACTAAAAAAAGTTATACATAACATTTCTGATCGTTATTTCGTATAATAGAGTCGAAATATCTGCACATTTGTATAAAAGGCAAGAAAAGGGAAAGTTATATTCAATAATATGCTTACTGGCAACTTTGAAAATGTTGTATTAATTGTATTTTTAACTTTAAAATACTCTCCGGTCCTGTTTGCTTTACCATTCATTAACTACGAAGAGGTTTTTAATTTATTATTTTCTTTTATTCTTTATCTTATTATTTTGTTCTAAAATACATCTTTTAATTTATTCAATAATACAATTTATACAAGTAATACATATCAATACAATTTGTGACTATGTTTGAGCTACTGCTTATTTTCATAATTCTCTTTCATTATAAAAATATAGTCGTGTATAATTAATTATCACGGGAGGATTTAATTTTAAAATAAATCATTATTTAAAAACATATTACGTAGAAAGCGATCTTTGCTATGAACTTCGTAATTTTTGATTTCGGGTCGTAAAATAAAAATAAAATATATTAAATGCTTAGAAAAACTTGAGAAAAACATATAATATTTATTTCTACATCGGTTAGTATTGAACTATTTCATAACAAAAAACAGAAAACTTTTTAATGCAAAATAAAATAAATTAAAAGTAAATAGATTTTATTTAAGAAAGAAGTCCCGCTGGGATTCTTACTAGTTCTTCCCAGAGCGGAGGTTTTTTCGAACCAGTGGTAAAAATAAAAAAAAAAACTTTATAAGTATTCTTGTAATATAGATTGAATAAAAATGATTGTATTACTTATATTCTACAGAAAATAACGATAATGAAATGAAATTAAGAGAAATTTAAATAACTTAAGTTAAAAAAATCTGTCATTTATATACTTATAAACAGATTACAGTGTCCTAATTAAATTAATTAAGATAATTCCTAAACGGACCCTGAGGTTATTATTAAAAAATATTATCGCAAAGGGATCCAAGGATCAATTATATCTGTATGTTTATGAAAACTTCAGATTCGATACACAAAATGATTTTGAATTAAATTTCATTTTAAATTATTAAAGACGAAGTAAAGAAAAGATTTTCTTGATCTAAAAAAAATCATAGATGAATTATGCTATTAGAATTTACTTTAAATAGTCTGAGAGCTGGCGTCGAATTTCGGGAAGGTCCTTTGGGCAAGTTGAAATTGTGAAAAAATATAATTTCGTCAATTGGTGAATCCAGTTCCGCGAGTCTGGCAGAGCTTTTGCGGTTATTTCGTTATTGCGCAGCATATAACATTTGCAAAAAATTTTTCAAAAAAAATGTTTTTCTGGCTACTTGATTTTTTTTATCTTTTAACTTAGTTTTTATATAATTCCAAAAAAAGAATCCCAGACGTTTTTGTCGGTTATAAAATATTACCAGACCTCTCCAAAAATATTTCTTTAAATTCCCAAAGAATATAATTTTGGAAATCTCGAATTTTAATCACGTGTTTATTGAGTAATTTTTAATAATACCTGCAAATCGCCAGACGAATTTAGCGAGTATAAACGATTCCCAGACATGAATAAAGTTTACAAATGAATACGACAAAAAGTCTTACACGTAGCCATAAGTGCGAGAAAGAGCTTATCGAAGCATGCCGACAGCGGATTGGGGCCTAAAACTCCTCGCGCTGTGATTGGTTATTAAGAAATATCTTTTTTAAAGATTTTAAGCATGTATCTATGCGCATATATGACCATGTAAATATCTGTGTATGTAGTTTGAATTATTTTAGATCAGTGCTGTAATAATTTGAATAATAGCTATTACTTTTAACGTCGTATTAATAGTAAACTTGGCAATATATATCTTGATAATTACCACCCCATGATCTTAAAAAAGGACTATGTATAAAGTGCTTCGATATATAAAAATAAACGCTTATATTATTCGTATGCCTCTTTGAATGCAATTTGGTAAACAAGCTGAATTGCAATTAGTTTTAGAGTGTTCATGCTTGTCACACATTAATTATAGAAATTAAATAACAACGCAGTGAAGCAATACTTCTACTTGTTTAAACTCTAGTTAGTTGACTAAACACTAGTTTTATAAACGAATTATAGGCAATAAAGTATTAGATTAGAAACTGCTTGCCTCCCCGGCGCTGAACAGTATCATGGCATACATTTCTTTAAGTAAGAACAGCAGCCCTTCAGTAGCGCTTGACAGCCCAGATGGCTTTCCTCTAAGAGGATCATCACCTCATTACCGTTTGGACTCATAATCAACCAGGGGAAATACTCGAAATATTTTGTGCACATCTGCATCTGATGTGCATTTTGTATATAAATCAAACGTTAATTTTCTAGACTGATAATGGGGAGCATCATAGCTAGTCCAACATGCTTGTAATATTCATTCATTCATTTATTTCAGCCCTTCACAACTACACTGCTGAACATCAGGTCTCCCACAAAGAATACCACAGAGCACGGTCCTGCGTCATCTGCATTCATCGAATTCCTGCATGACTTACCAGGTCATTCTATCTAGTGGTGGAAATGCCCTACACTTCGCTTACCGGTACGAGGCTGCTACTCGAAAACCTTTATTTACCATCGGTTGTCGGCTCTTCAGCCTATATGGCCGGCCCATTGCCACTTCAGCTTACTGTTCTGTTGGATTTTATCTATTACTCTGGTTCTACGGCGGATATCCTAATTTTTAAGTCTATCACGCAGATAAATCTCGAGCATAACCCTCTCTATAGCTCACTGAGCGACCTTGAGCTTCCTTATTCGGCCACGTCTAAGGTCTAAGTCATCACTGACAACACGCACTGGTTGTACAATATTATTTTCAGGTTTTGAGGTATATTTATTTATTTATTTATTCTTTACTGCACTATATATTTGTACAAAAGGCGAGCTTAATGCTATATGGCATTCTCTACCAGCTAACCTTGGGTAGAACAGGTATTGAGGTAGCGATATATTATTGGGAGTGAAAATTTGCCTATCAAGAGTCGCGATCGAAGAAAATCTTCCTTGCCACGTATAAGACAACTGTACAGTTGCGTATTATTTACAACTCATGAATAGTAAATATCTATTGATATGTAGACGGTGTGGATACAACTTTATCCATCCATTTTGAGTAAACTAAATATGCAGATGTCACACCCAAGGAATAAGGTGAAAAATGGCTTGTTACTCTGAAAGCATTATGGAAAATGGAAAAGGAATGGGATCCGAGAACTGCAATAAGGGATAATTACTTTTATGCTTACACCCTATAATATTTAAATATACTGATCGTATCCACATTATTTGTTGTGGATCCTCGTTTTATTTCTATAATATTAAGTATGTATCTAACGAGACAACAGTCATTACCAGTGAAATGCATTATTCTGCTGTTTTACGCTTGTATTGTGTGGGAGTGGTTTATCACAGTTAGGCCGAACCATACATGATACAGCGTGGCACGTAAAAATATACATATTACAGACAAACACTTCTATTTTTGTATATATATAATAGAAGTGTGATAGTGATATAGATATAGTCGACTTTCTAGTTGTTAGTTTGAGCTAGTGACATTGTTTTCTCTACTAAACAGAGTAATAGTGAAACTAATAACTAAAATTTTCACATAATAGATTCTAAACACTATGTGTTAGTTCCAACTTCAAAAGTTATTTTTATATAGGTTTTTACTTTATTAAACATTTAATTTTACATATATTTTTTTTAATTTTATGTAGAGTATTATTTGGATTTCTACCCATGTGTACCCTGGCTCTCATGATCTACCAAATACTAATGAGTCTTAACTGATAAGGACAACCGTTTAAAGTACAAATATTTTCGGTTTAAACTGCAATAATTTTAACTTCGTGACATATGAGGAAGCCAACACACGAGGTGTTTTGAGTCTAATTTTTTAACAGCGGGTTGATGAAGTTACAGAATCATATATACTTTTTTGGTTTAGTTGGTAACCAAACTTTAGATAACAATTTAAAAAGTTATTAACATATAACTTCGTGGTTTATCACAGAGCGTGGAGCTATTTATTTATGCAAGTTTATTTAGACCAATGACGAAAAATATTTTGATTGTTTTAAATTAATAGCTTCAATATTCCTGTGAAAATAAAATAGAGCTAGCAATTAATATGAAAAAAAAAGGTTTAATAATAAATAATACGCTACGGAATTTCGAAAGAGTGTGGGCTACGTATAGCACATAGAGCGGTATGCCTACTTCAGTCTTTCTGTGTCCGCTATACGGAGAACACGTCGCGGCGTAGCGGGCGTTTCGCTACGAAAGCGATCAGCGATATCTCGTCTCGTAGCAATTTTGATAATTGACGAATAAACGTGATTCTGTTAATAATTGGGTTTCAGCGATAAATTGTGTTCTCAAATCGAGGGCAGCGATTTGCATGGAAATTTAGTTAAAGATAACTAACTCTATCGTTAGAATTAATCGCACTTTGTAATTGTCGCTTAATGTTAATTAATGCTGTGTTGTGAATAGCTGAATAGAATAGTTCAGTTATACCAGTCTTCTTTTGTGATCTCTAATTCTGGTAAGTTGTTCTAAGCTTATATAAACTAGGTATATTAAAAATGCCAATGTATGCCAATTGAATAATTAAAAAAAAACTTAGTTTATTAACTTCATTTTATTAAATTTATGGGAAACAGTGACTTTTACTTAGGCTTGTACTTTATTAATATACATAATATATTATATTGCTTTAATTTTTATTTCGAAGAATATTACTTTAATAATTGATAAATATATTTTTTCGAATGTAAATTACCGTGAAAATACAAAATTTAAATTTAAACTTCTTGAAATACAAACATGTGGAGACTTTTAGAAAGGTTATATTAATTTATTTATGGATTAAAATATGAACCCTTTGAACCATGAATCTTATATGAATATTAAAATATATCTTTATAAAAAATTATCTGATTCTTAAAAAAATAACCTTTGAAATAATTCTATATTTAAATTGTTATGGAATGTTTTAACGTGAATCACATATTCAGAATTTTGCTTGGATTTATTAGTCTTATCACGTTTTGCACTAGGAAGATTGTCATAGTAGAGTTCTAGAATGACAGCCTTAGCATATTTAATAGAAATCTTTTAAAATTTATTTAAGCCTTTGATCATATAAGCAACTTATAATAATTCCATTTTCAGAATTAATTAACTTATCAATGATATATTAGGTGAAAGCTTTAAAAGATGAAAAAATGGTTTTGATTTACTACTGTAAAATAGCAACTTTATTTTTTTTATAGGATAAGGGTGACAAATTAACACACAGTCCACCTGATGGTAAGTGGTTGCTGTGGCCCATAGACATCTACATCTATTCTCGATTACGAATCAAAATGTAGATGAGTTGTAACCCGTGAGGATTAAGATGTAATGCCACTCACCATACGAAACACAGCAGCGTTAAGCAGCTATTTTATGTTGATATTCTGTGATTTTAGGTTGGTACGCTGCTGGTTAGTATGGTGAGAAAAATGGAGAGAATTTTTTCTGGTAATGAGGCATTCTATCTTAGTTCTCAGGGCTGACAACGCATCGTATGTAATATAGAAACAGAAAAAGAGACAATTTTTTTTATTCAATATATTATATTATAAAAAATACTTATTGAAAGTCACTCTTGTTTAATTTACCAATGATTAGGAAAATACCTACGTCCTGGGAAGAAACTTCGAAAACTCAACGGCAGTATTTTCAAAAAAATTACAGTGCAAAGTTATATATGTAACATAATTAACAACACAAAACAAATTAGAAATAGCTTAGTAGCGATGACCTCATTCTCAGGATTTATTAACATCCATAAATTTCTTAATATTATAATCACTAATTTTATATAAACTTTGGTCAGTAAAGTTTTTAAACTTTTAGGAGGTCAAGTTTTGTACATTTTCTATGATTTTTGTTGTAAATGCGTATGCATCGCCCTAAGAATGAATTACTGACTTGGGTAGAGTAATTGGTACTACTAGCTTGTATTTGTTTCTAGTATTTTTAAAACGAATATCGCTTGTTCTTTTAAACTAAATTTATTTTTGTGTATATACGTCACATTTACGTAAATATATTGAGAGGCCAAAGTTAATATATTAATTTCCTTAAATTTTTGTCTGAGCGGATCTTTAGCTTTTAAATCATAGATTGATCTTATATCCCTTTTCTGTAAAACAAATATGTATAACTTCAGTGTCAGTGGCGTGTTTTCGTAGCAAAATACCATACGACATTATGATATTCATATCGATAATCACTTTATGTCAGGTGTGCCTCTATCCGAGTTAATTACAGCATTTAATCAACGAATTCCCGGTCGCAAAACTGTCAGGTAATCCATTTTGTTTATGATCCTACTTTCGGAAGTGTTTGCAGAAATTTAATACATTATTGAATGTAAATGATCTTGGGTATACATCTATTAAATGTACTTATTTTACACGTTCTTATATTGTAATATCATCACTATCACAGCCATTCAAAAGTCCACTATTAAACATACGCCTTCCCTAATAACTGCGATATAATAGAGGGAATATTTGCCACAGTTACCACGCTTGTCAGAAGGGTTAGGGACCGTAGTATTTTTATTAGTTTGCGTTGTTATCAAGAAAACGCTGCTCCCCGTCTCCTGTTGTGATTTTTTTTTAATAATTCAATTTTTGTTAGCTTATCGTATATTTTTTATAGAATTACGGTGACAAACGAACTCACAGTTCGCCTGATGGTATGTGAATGCTGTATGATTCATCAAAATCTACATCTATCCTCAATTGATAGCGTTGTCAGCCCTCAGAAATAACATAGAATGCCTCATTTCCAGTAAAAAGGCTCTCCGGTTCTCTTCACTAACCATATTGTAAATAAATAAATTACATGATGTATATACTGAAACTAAAGTAGTAAACTTCTCTCGAAATTAATTTAACTTTACTGCGACATTGTCGTAAATTTACATTTTATTTAATTTAACGAAGTAACATAATTCGTAATTTTAACAGGTATTATAGCAACTATGCCAATTTATGTAGCTGCTATTTGTCAAATATTATTAAATTTATTTAAGAGGAAGTAAAAAATTAATTATGATAAATATTAATGCATTCACTTTTGTGCTTAGGTATAAAGAGACAGAATGCTTTCAGACTGCGAGTTATTCCATTTTAGTCAGCACTAACAATAATTATTCTATGGCCTTCTCTGTTTGTAGTTGGTTGCAGTGTCAATTTTCTGTTGTATCTTATCTAAAATTCAATATTCAGAAATTAGAACAGTTTGGAAAAACATATTTCTGTTGTATGTCATTATATTAAAAATGTTACCATGTAGAGGCGGTGTAGGAATATCCACTACTCTATATCATCCCGATGTCATAACGGGCGACAGAGGGTAATCCATCTGGAGATGGGCAGCAGCATCTTCATAATAACGACAAAAACTGCGGTTGCCAACCCGCTTGCCACCCATGGTAACTATTTCGGAATGTGGAGTCGTAGTAGCTCAAGGGATAAGTGCTAACTGTAAAGTTAACAGTAAGCAACCCAAGTTACATTCCGCGGGTTTATTGGTTGCAATTTTAAGTGCTGACTTTCTACGTGCTAGGCGGCGAACCGAAATATCGTGAAAGGTGATAAGAGGCATATTCCGGTACCGGAATACGTATATAAGCGTTATATTTTTGTAGATTATATTTCAAAGAAAAGAAAAGTAACTTTAATTTTATTTTTATTTTAATCTGACGCTAAAATGACGTTATTGATTATAGTATGTAACAAATTCTTTGTATGAGGGGTTTATTGTTTGAAGTTAAAGAGTGAGTAAGATCTAATCTATATAAGAGATTAATCTATTATTATTAACATAGTATCATATCAAACAGCCGTGCGTACATGGTTGTACTTCGGTATAAAGAGTCAGTAGTCAGAGTAGTTCGGTATTTTGAGCCAGTATAGTTATTTTTTTTTTATAAGATAAGGGTGACAAACGAGCACACAGTCCACCTGATGGTAAGTGGTTGCTGCGGCCCATAGACATCTACATCTATCCTCGTTTGCGAATCAAAATGCATATGCGTTGCCACCCGTGAGGACTAAGATGGAATGACTCATTTCCAGTAAAAAGGGCCTCCGGCCACCTGCACTCACCAAGCGAAATACAAAGGTAAACCTCTACTTCACGCTGGTATTCTGTGAGGTCATGGTACCACCCCGGTTCGAGCCGGCCCATCCGTGCGACAGCAAAAGTTGCCGCGTGGCTCTACCACTGATTAAAAATTTAATTACTAAATACAGACTGTGAGGCGTTCCATCTTAGTCACCAGTGACCTGTAGCCGTTTTTGTTTGAAGTTGATTGCAATAGTTCATAGACTTAAGGAGTCACTTACAATTAGGAAAGTGTATATTTGTTTAGAACTTCAATTTAATAAAGTCCACTGCTGAATAAAGGCCTTCTTCAAAAATTGGCACAAAGCGCGATTCTGAGCCACTTGCATTCATTAATCCAAGGATGTTTTATAAGATCCTCTTCACCAGCTGAAATGGTAGCTCGTTTCATACTTCATTATTAAAAAAAAAACATTCAATTGTCTTTATTTTTAGAAGCTTTTATCGACTTAATTTACATAAAATACAATATTTATAACAATGAATGTCTTGAAATAACTGTATATTGTAAAGTCCTCACGGCATAGTGCCAAATACGCTGGCTACGTTTCCACGTCGAACGCGAGAAAAAACCTTCTTAAAAGCAAAATCTGTCGACTTTATACAGTACTCTTATTAATATTCACGCATTACAAACCAGATTTACATTTTTTTGTTCTTTAAATTAAAATAATGTTTTAAGTGCATTAAAAGTTCTGTGTTTTCATAGCAAACATTAGATAAACTGTTACAATATAACATATTTAAGAAACTCAAAAAAAAAGGGTTTAAAACATTGTGTAAAATGTGTTATTCAATTAAAATACTCAAATTAAATATATCATATTATAAATTATTTTTTATATTTACGCGAACACTACATATTAAATTATCAGTAAATTTTTACCATCAGTCAAGTGTAACATCCCTCTACAAGATGGTCTCTCGTGCATAGGACAAACAAAAATATCTATAAAAGCCAGCGTAAAAGAACATATAGGTGACGTGAAGCACCGACGTTTCGGGAAGTCTGCAGTCTGTGAACATGTTCAAGATCGACCCCGAACATTAGATTTGATAGACCACATATCCTCACAAAAGACCACCGATTCCTACCAAGGATAATTTGCGAAGCTATTGAAATTAAAAAAAAAAACATCTTAATTTCAATAGTGAAGATGGATGAGTGCTACCATCTGCATGGGATCCTATAGTTAATAAAATTAAAGCCAAGCCTAAGCATACCACTGAAAGACATGAAGATACTACAAGCTCGTTCTGCGTAGATCGGATCAAACATTAATATTCAAAAACTGAAGGTAGTTGCGCTAACTATGACATCGGGATGTCAAACACCCCAGTTCCGTGACCATGGGT